GAGGGTTGGGGTACAAAGCAAGCCACAGGCTTGTGGATATGAGGGTGCTGGAATTTGGGTTGTGGTCTGTGAGGGGCTCAGGGCAGGGGGTTCTAGTGTATGTTAGGCTCAGATCTAAGGTGGGGGGTGGTGGTGCAGGAGTGCTATGATGCTGCAGCCACATGGGGGCTTGGCCCCAATTGGGGGCTTGTTGGCCACAGGCTTCATTTTTTAATAAAATACTATGGCAAACACAAAAAGTTTCTGCATTGTCTGTATTTATGAGAAGGGCATAAATACAGACAATGACCCACAGAAAAGTCAGTTGGGGGCCACACAAGTGAGATGCAATAACTCCTCCAAAAACCCCCCAAGCCTCACTAATGTGGCCCCAACTGTGCTGGTGGGAGCAGGGGACATGGTACTGGGGAAGGGTGCTAGTGGGTGCTGGGGCAGGGTGCTGGGGAGAGGGGCAGGGGACAGGGTGCCAGTGGGGACAAGGTTCTGTATCAGGGGACAGGGTGTTGCTGGGGGCAGGAAGTCCCCCGCACATGCCTCCTCCCGAGACTCCTCCGGGGACAACCCCCCTTCCCCCTGCAGAGGAGGGAAAGCCCCAGCATGTGCCTCCTCTGGGGACGACTCTCCCCTCCTCCCACAGAGGAGGTTAACGCCCCGGCACGCGCCTCCTCTGGGGACGATTCACCCCCACCAGTTCCCCACCAATGCAACCCTAAAGAAAGCTGCACTGACTCACTCTCATGTTAACAGGGTGAAGCTGATGGTTAGTGCCGGGGCACATGGCCTAGCAAACTGAGATAAAAAAGACTTGGGTTCTATTCCTGGCTCTAGCACTGGCCTGCGTGGTAACACTGTGCCACCTCTGTGCCTCAATTTCCCCATCTGTAAAATGGGAATGAGTCTAACCTACTTAGCTAAGTAGGGATGTAAGAGACAAGTCAACTAGTGATGTGACTAGCCGCTTCCCCTGCCTTGCTGCTTCTATCAGAGAAAGGCAGCAAAGCGGGGGGAGCAGGAGCTGTTGCTGGGGGGGAGCCAGTGTAGAAGCCAGTTCCCCCCAGCAGGGGAGGTAGAGGCACAGCAGGAAATGGGGCGAGAGGGGACTGAAGCAGTCTCTGCTCATGGCACTTCTACTATAATTCTGCATTTGAAATGTAGAAGAGCCCCAGTGGTGCTCTTGTACATTTCAAAAGCGGAAGCCTCACAGGGAGAGTGGGACCAGTGGGGGAGTCCCATGCTCCCTGCGAGGCTTCTGCTTTTGAAATGTACAAGAGCCCCTGGGCTGTTCTACATTTCAAAGGCTCAGGTACTGCAAGGAGCATGGGGCCAGGGAGAGTGGGGGAGGGGAAGAGTCCCCTGCTGATCCGACATTCCCTGAAGGGCTTCTGCTTTTGCACTGTAACCGGCGCTTGCTACAGTTGAAAGGCAGAGGCACCCTTATAGACTAATCAAATAGTCGATGGAAATCCCATCAACTATTCAATTAGTTAATTAATCTAAACATAACATCCCTATTGCTAAGCACTTTAAGATCTACTGATGAAAAGTGCCACATAAGAGCCAGTACTATTTCTGAATTCCATGGGGCCTGGAAAACATTCTTTTCCCACAGCACATTGCAAGATCCTCCAGAAATCAATTTTCCCTGCTGGGTCCCTTTCATGTGTAACTCAGAGCCACTCCATCTGGTGCTCTGTCCTCCTCAAGCCATTGCTGGGCCAAAGACAGCGATTAATGAGTCTGCTACAGCCCCCCCCCTTTTTTTTAGCAACATCACAGAGGCTCCTGATTCCAGGTTTGAGTCCTATTGCTGACAACACACCCAGCAAAGTAGTATTAAGTAGAGGGACTGGATCCAGGCAGATGTGCTGATTAATTACTTTGCCAGGCCCTATCAATAGAGAGGGTGGGAAGGGACTGACCATATTACCTTGCCAAGGGATCGCAAGGAGGATGAGCGGGGTAGGGTGCCATTGAAAACCTCCCAGATGAGGCAGCCAAGACGCCACATGTCTGCAGACCTGGGACAGCAGAAGAACCAATGTAACTTTCCCAGGCATTTCCCACAGGAAAGGAAAATGTTTCGCATAGCATCAGTCCACAGAAACCACATCCCTAAGATACTTTAAGCAAACAATAGTGGGGGGCTTGAAATGAGATGGAAGCCCTTGCATGCGCATGCACTGTCAATAGGTGGCAGAGATTAGATAAGCAGAGGGGAGTAGAGGGGTTACAGCAATTCTGCCTGCAGACAAGTGTCTCGCACACACAGAGAAGAGAAGGCTGATGCCGGCTGAACTGAGAGGAGAGCAGAGAAAGATGCAGGGAGGGATTTCTGAGAGCAAGGGGCTACAGAGGAGAAGGCTCTTGCACAAACATATAGCGGGACACTGTGGAAAAAGAAAGACCAGGTCATGGAAGACGACTGGAGAAAGACCACAGAGTGTGCTAACAATTACGGGTGTAATATGAATTCAGTCCCTGAAATAACAATAAAACCCCAGCAATGCATGTATGGAACAATAAAGCAGCGCTCACAGCTTCTTCCTTCCATAGCCTGGGCTTTGATAGCAATTGGGTTCCATATAGGAATCACAGGGAGAAATTCTCTGGCCTGCGTAAGCAAGAACAGTCCCTTCTGGTCTTAATACCTACTAATCTATTATAATATCTAGAGAGGCCCCAACAAAGATTAGTGCTCCACAGACCTCACTCCGCTAAGATCAGGGCACCAGTGTGTTGAGCACTGCACAGGCACAGTGAGAAAGTCGCTGCCCCCAAAGAGCCTGCAGGCTAGCTAAGGTGGGAAAAGATTAATGGGTCCTTCCCCATGTCCCACTCACCATTTCTCCCCAACGGTTTTGCTGCTATCTGTTTTCTCTGGCGGGTCGAATCTCTCCAACTCAGGGATCCCTTTCCGAGGCGGGATGTTGTCACCTTGGGCTGAATACATGTAATCCAGGCCACCCAGCTTCCACTCACCAGCACGGTCCACAAAAACAGCAGCCATACACACATTATTGTGGATGAGGTTGCAGTCATTCACCAGGAAGCTGAGAGCTTTCTGGGAAGGGAAGGACAAATGAGAGACAGTAAACTGGGAGCCCTGCAAAAAGAATCTTAAGAGACAGAATGGTCTAATTGAGGGACTCCTGGTCTCCATTTCCAGTTCTAGAACAGGAATGGGGCCTAGTGGTCTAGAGCAGGGGTGACTGGGAGCCCAGGGTTCCATTCCTAGCTATAGGTCAGGAATGGGATCTAGCGATAAGAGAAGGATGGGTGGGGAAGCTGAGAGTCAGAACTCCTAGCTAGCTCTGGAACAGATTCCCTGTACGCTCTTGGACAAATCACCTCCCTTTCCCATACCTCAGTTTACCCATCTATAAAAAAATACTGTTATTCACTTGACTCATGGTTGGTTTATCCCAGCGTCCTGGATCAGACAATATGATATCATAGTGGAAAATGACAGAAGTCTCTTTCAAACCTCAGTTGGGTCTAACCTAGACAGTTCTACTCCCAGACAGATCAAGCGATAAGTGGCAGGACAGCAGCCCTCAACAGCTATACCTGCTTAAAGAAGATGACACGTGTTCTGCCTGGGCACAACTCGAAATCTCAGCAGAGTGCAGTGAAATAAAATTATCTTTACTACTATGTCAGCACACTGCTCTATTAAAACTACATTAGGAAAGATTAGATTTTTATCAGTAAATCTTGATTTCACCATACACACAAATCAATGAAAAAAATATCTCCTTCGACTATTGAAATGTACAGATAAGTAAAGTAAGAAAAACGCTATTTAAGCACATAGTAAAATCTCCTTCGACTATTGAAATGTACAGATAAGTAAGAAAAATGCTATTTAAGCACATAGTAACGTTTGATTAAAGGATCGCTACTTTTTATATTTTAACCTGCGATGTTGACCGTTTTTTTAACAGCTATAAAGCCTTAACTTTTTTAATCTCAACATCTACTGCCATTATACAATTAGTCTGAGACCCCTATTCTCCAACACCACTTCCAGAATTTACTGCAACTCTGAAAAAAAAAATCGATAAAAATTAAAAAACAGGTTAAAAAGAAAGATCAGTATCATCTGTCAAAATTACAAGCATTAAAAATCTAATTCAAAAAAGCTTGATTAAGACTGACAGGCAACCAAAACTAGGAGCTGTGAGCAGAGGAGTTGATAGTTTAGGGATGTCCATGCAGGCACAACCCATCTGCTTGAAATCATTCATTGTATCTTACCACAATCTGATGGAGACCCCAAGAGATCTCCTGTTCGCTTAATCCTCCAGAGTCAGCTTTCGACTTCAGGTAAGTGCTCAGAGGTGTCACGGGCTCTGTCACCACATGCAAGCATTTCTCTGTCTAGCCCAGGAAAAAAAAACACACACACCATGTTTCTTTTTGTTACTGAAGCACCAGGAGGCTCCATCCAAATGAGATCCGAGCTCCTTTGTGCTGGGCATGTTGTTAGTAGCATTACAGTAGCACTATGAAACCCCAAACAAGATCCTCTTGGACCTTGTATTGCACAGACTACCCCTACAACTGAAATCAGGGGTCCTGTTAGGCTGACACCTCCGAGACCCCCCCCCCTCCTTCACACACACAACTGAGATGAGGGAGGCATTGCACTGATCAGCCCCCAACTGAGACTGGAGACCCCTGTTTTCAAGGCACAGCGCAATGGCCTTCCTTCCCCACCAATTGAGATCAAGCACCCGTTGGTGCCAGCCACTGTGCAGAATCTCCCAAACAAGATATGGGACACCACTGTCTCAGGCACTGCAGGGACACATACCCCCCAGCAAGATCAGGAGCTTATACTGTGCCAGGCTCCACACAGATCCCTCCATCACTGAGATCGAGGCCCCTTTGTGTCAGCCACTGCCCCAGCCAACACTGACTGACCCGTCCCCATTGGGAGGGCGGGTCCATGCAGCTGCTGGTATGGCAAGAGGCCCAGATCTCTGTCAGGATCACGCAGTGTTCCAAAGAGAATCACCAATCTTGTTCACGGTTGCTGGGCCCTACCAAGTAAATAGGTAAAAATAAATGCAAACATTATAAGAAGCCAAAAGTGCTGTGGTGGCCCACTGCAAACTGGACATGTTGGGTCACACTGCTTTATCCAGATTCAGGATTGGCTGCAGTTTCATAAAGGCTGTCAATATATAACATCATTCCATACAGTATCAACCCAGCAACCTAAAAATTGTTTTTCAACTAAGGATGCTAAAATGTGGTTAATTGACTAGTCGATGGAATTTTCATCGACTAGTCCATAGGCACTTCTGCGTTCCTCCTTTGAAACATATAAGAGCCCCTGCTGGGATATGGAGTTCCTCATTCCTTCTGCTGGGGCTCTTGTACATTTCAAAGGAGGAATGTGGAACTCCACCTACAGCCAGTGGGAAGTCCTGCTGACTGGGACTGCATGTGGCCTGCTTTGAAATGCTCCATACTACATTCCATGCTGCTAGGAGCCCAGGGTCAAGTGGGCAGTCCCCAGCAGACCCCAGGTTCCGAGGAAATGCCTCCGGGAGCCCAGGATCAGCTGGGGAGTCCCCAACTGACTCTGAGCTCCACAGCTGCCCCTTTGAATCATGCAGAGGTGGCAGTTTTAAAGGGGAAGCTGCCGCACAGCAGTGCTGCCACTTTGAAGTACGCCTTCCCCCCACTTGCTGCCTCTGAGACTCCAGACATGGCCACAATGCAAAATTGTAAATGTCATAGATGCTAGATACCACCACAAATCAAAATAATAAACAGTACCTCCAATCCATCAATGTAGGACAGAATATTGGGGTGCCGGAGGGTTTTAAAGCGCTTGAAAGCTGCCTTGGCGACCTGCGTCTGTTCATCCGAATTAGGTTTAATTTCATAGACAAAAACAGATACCAGATCCCCTGTAGTCTGAAGAAAAACAAAGAAATGTACATGCTATTTATTTAAGGATGTCTATGGCCCCATAGTTTCTGAGCAGTACTATTATCCCCGTTTTACCAAGGGGGAAACTGAGGCACAAAATAGGGATTTGACCTTGCCAGAAGGCAGGAATTGGTGGATCCCATCATACCTGTTGTGTTAATTTCCTCTGAAGTGCCTGTAAGAACACAGGATATAGGGCTAGATGGACATCTGACCCAGTATGGCCATTCTTACTTGCCCAGAGTCACATGGGGAGTTTGTGGAATTGAACCCAGGTTAACTGAGTCCCATGGTGGCATCCAAATTGCTGGCTCATCTTTTCTCCCATGCAGGACAGTGTGTGTGTGGTGGGGAGGGGGGGAGATGACTACGAGGTGGAAGTCGGGGATGGTCTGCCTGTGGGAGGCAATGTAGTCTGGTGGACAGAACATTGCACTCTGGGTTCTATTCCCAGCTCAACATGGGCCTGCCAGGTATTTGGCAAGTCCCATCCCCTCGCTATGCTTCAGTTTCCCCACTTGTAAAATGGGAATAATGATATCAACTTGCTTTGAAAAGGGATTTTGTGATCTGATGAAAAGCTGTATATATATATCACCACTAGCTATTACATATTACTAGTATTAGATGGACCCTATAATGAGGGTGTGTCAGCCACTTTGGCTAAACCATCCCATTTTCATGGTGCTGTTTGTCCCCTGAGTCTAGAGCAATGTTTCTCAACAAGTGGTACGAGTACCCTAAGGGGTTCTAGAGAGAAGTCTGGGGGGAACGTCAACACCTGAAATTTGGAGAAAACTGAATTTTTGTTTTAAGTTTTACAGCGCTTTATTATTTTTGCACTTTTTACACACAAAAATGTCATCGCCCACCCGGCTACAATTAAGTTGTTTAAACAAATGCGTTGCAATGGTAGAAAAAAATGTGTGTGTCTGAAAACTGTAGGTACTAAGGGTACTTATAATATTTTTTAAAAGGGGTACTTTTTAAAAAAAAAAAAAAAAGCTTGAGAAACATTGGTCTAGAGAACTGCAGTTAGCCCTAGACTCCATGGATATCCCCCTACTGCTTTTGAAAGGGGTGTGTTTGTACTGGAGAAGCCCTGGACCCTTTATATTTGGGAATGTTCAAGAGTGGACAGAGTTTGAAGGGGCGCTGAAAATCCTTGTTATCCAGGGGAGAACCTAAAGGGCCCCCTGAAACGTTCTTCCCCCCTAGAGGGGGGCCCTGGACCCCTCCCTCTATCCTAGAGAAGAGTAGCTGAGTGGGGTCTTGAGCCTCACCGACCCATATACAAGGGAGAAGCAGAATTTGGGGGATTATTCAACACTTTTTCTGAGGGGGGGGTGTTTTCTGCTAACCCGCCTCGGTCCAAGAGCTCTCTGAAACTGCCCTTTTACACACACCCTCCATTTTTAAGGACTGAACAAAATCCACCTTCACCCCAGACTGGGGAAGAGGACCCGAGGGCCTGGAAACCCTCAATCCCGGTCTTCGGGGGGGATGGGGTGGAAACCTCCTATCCCGGGCTGGGAAGGGGGAGGCCTGAAACCTCCCTCGCCACCCCCCGAACCCCGAGCGGGGAGCCTGGAAACCTCCCTCCCCCTCGCGCCCGTGGCTGGGGAGACTGGAAACCTCCCCCCGCAGCCCCGGCTGGGGGCCCCATGGCGGCGGGCG